ATTTTAATTTTAATTTTTTAAAACGATTCCCATAAGTAAAAAAAAATTATTCCATTTATTTTTTTGTTTTTTTTTTGTTTGTTTTGTTTTTTAAGTATCTCTACTAATTTGATAAGCGTTCTTAATCGTGTAGCGTGCAATGTTGTTGTAGACAGGTTATTTGATTTCAATTACTTTAGCTAGAGATAAAGAAACTGTCTCAGCCGGGAGACATCCATAGTCTATCGTTCTTATCATGGCTAAGCAGAAATATATAAACGAAATTCCGATAAGTGGTAATCAAACTTTTTTCTTAAAATTTGTTCTGTCTGTCGCTGAGCTGATTATATTAAGATATCTATTTTACGCTGAATTTAGTATGAGGAAGACTGTCTGTAGCAGAGTGAAAGCGAGAGATAAGCTTGGATATTCGGCTAGTTAGGCGAACAGTCCAATATGCTAAACGCACTCGACTTTTATGACATATGATAAAAAGTACATCAACTAAAGTTCAAACATTATTTTGTTTAGTTTTTATTAGATAAGCCGCAGGCTAAGTCAACTCGAACAGAATTCGGGTTGAGTTGGGTTATTTGGTAATTATTTAAATAGCATTAGATGTGCCATAACGATAGGGCTGAGGCACGTTTTATAGCCTACGGTTCGACGGTTACAGTAGCAGAAAAAGGGGCGGATCTGCTGCACAATGTTGGCTAGCAAATTAATTGCATCCACTAGTTTTTGGCATGGCTTGTCTTGCCTCAGTTTCGCTCTCTCTCTCTCTTCCATTCTCTCTCTCAGTCATTTATGGTAGTTATTGCAGTTGTACTCATAGTTTGTATATGGGAGAAACTTTGCAGAAGCCGCTTATCTCCCACTGAAGTGAAGTTCAACAAGCCCGCAAGTGTGTGGCATTAAAAAGTTTTAAAATTTACGCAAAACGTTTCGCAATGATGCGACTTAATTGTTGGCTGTTAAGATTTAAAACACATACGCATTGTGCTCGCAACAGCGACAACTGGCAGAGAGAGGGAGAGAGAGAGAGAGAGAGAGAGAGCGACAGAGAGAGTGACTGATGGAAAAGACAAGCATGCACTGAAAGAAATTAATTGTATGAGCTTGTATTGCAATATCGTAGTAAA